CCCTGGGGGAGGTATCTCCCTAAGATGGAAGATGGCAGTGAGTTGAGTTGCTTGACATTTGCATCAGCTCCTTCCCTGCTTGACCATATCCATCACTGGGAGGGCAGCTAAATCCTGTCTCCTCACGAGGTAGCCTGGAGAGCTCAATGAGATAATGGGTAAGAAAGCCCTTTGTCACCTGCTTGCTAAAACCATCCTTAGTTGCTGCTGCTCTTGCCTCATATGAGATGCATAAAACCGGAGTGGAGAGAGTAGGGGTTGACCTCATTTTACCTCACCTTGGGAGCAATTCTATGTGGTCTACCAGGCCTACCTTCTACCTCCCAGCCCCCCTCACTGCTTCCACATGATCCCAGAAGGAAGGATGGTGCAGTTCCCTCACCCCACCTACCCAAAGCTCATTCCCTCTTCCACTAGGAACAAAATGTATCCTCTAAGTCCATTACAGTCCTACTATCTGGCAAATTCTTCTAGAAGGCTCCTAATGCTGTCTGCCATTAAACCCATTCCTTTGCATAAAAGCAAAGGTGTCTAGCCAGTAGAGAGGGCCCCGCCCCAGGCAGGACTCAGGGTTTCCCCAGGGATCAAAATACCACCTTATAGCTGCAAATCACTTCTTCTTGTACAAAGCTTTTTCTCAGGCAGTATCCCATTTGAACCCCCAAAGGGAGGCAGGCTGGTACCATGGACTTTGGAACCTGCTGGGGCAAGAGAGCTTGGGCCAGAGATTGGGGGGCTGGAGGCAGGGAGTGAGGGGATGCTAACTCCTCTGGGCCTTGACTTCTTTGTGTAAAACGGAGTAATAACACCACCTCATGTGCTTGCTGTGCATGTGCCTCATGATCATGATTCCCAAACCGTGTGGGAGAAGGGGGATCAGGTGGTGCTTCTGAATATACATGGCACATACATCATCTTCCTGGAATTTTACTTGAGGTTTTGGAGGTGGGGAGTTTTATAATAAAACTTGGATTTATTATGCAGCAGAATGCAAACCTCGTATGTATTTAAAGATTTTAAAAAGGAGTTTTGAAAGTGATGTCATGCTTCTAGTGGGCTGCTTCTGGCTACACCCCCAGATCCCCAGGGATTGGACATGTGATCACACCCTAGTGTGCCATGTAAGGACTTCAATGGGAAAGTGGGAGCAATGCTGTCTGATGGAAGATGAGAAAGTGGCTGGCATGAAATAGGCAGTCAGTAAATTGTGCCTTGTGTTATGGCGGTGGCTACATCCTCCCAGAGGAAACAGGTCCACACAGATGAGAGTACTTGCTTGGGTTCACTCAGCTAGAATGTAACAGGGCCAAGCCCAGAACCAACTGCTGACTCCCCACCCAGTGCTCTGTCATAGCCTCCATCTCCTCCCCATGGTAAAGGGCTTTAAAGGTCAGCAGCGTCCCTTACTTAGGCCACCTCCTCAGTTCTCCTCCCTCCTCTGTTGTCAGGGAGGGTGGTTCCTGGGTTCCAGTCCTGTGGGGGCACACATGCACAAGTCCTCCAAAAGGCAAGCACCCCTGGGAGGAGGCAGCAAACACACAGTTTAGATGAGCAAACCTGTGTACTTCAGAGAGACACAGGACTGCTGAGTTTGGGGTGGGAAGAGAAAAGGTTCAGGGTATGAGATGCTCTCAGAATTAGGTGGAGCCCAGATGCAATGGTCATGAGGCAAGGGGTACACCAAAAAAACCCACATTTCCCTCCCAGTGTTGTCTAAGATAACAGGCCCTCAGGGTTGCATCCCATTTTCAGGGCTTAGGTTTCTGGATCCAGATCGACAAAAAGTGCCTTGGGCCTTGCCAACTAGTGAGGTGTGCATTGAATCCAGGGACAGCAAGAGGGTCTAGGGGAGTCCCAAGCCATTCTTTCTCCAGGCCCTTCCAGGCTGGTCTCCCTGCCCTGGGCCTGTGTAAACTACGTTTCTGTGTTGTCTGTCTCCCTAAATGAGAGGAACCAAGGTCCCAAGTGAATGAATCAGTGATCCAGATTTGTCCAGCTTATGCTTCATGCCAAGGAATGGGATTGGGGAGTTAAGTGCCTGTCACACTCAAACCCCATTTACTAACCCCAACAGCCCAGTAAGGGTAGTTATTTCCCCATTTTATAGATGAAGAAACTGATACTCAGAGGCTTGTTTCTCAGGCCCAGAAGATCCCTAGGCATTGGTAGAAATGCAAATTTTTTGGCCCCACCCTGTACCTACTCAGAATTTCCCTGCGGTAGACCTGAGAATCTGCTCTTTTTATTTTTTATTTTTAAAGACAGGGTCTTACTCTGTCACCCAGGCTGGCTGAAGTGCAGTGGCGCCATCATAGCTCACTGCAACCTCAAATTCCTGAGCTCAAGCGATCCTCCCACCTCGGCCTCCCAAAGTGCTGGGGTTATGGGAGTGAGCCACTGCACCCAGCCAGAATCTGCAATTTTTAACAAGGGATGACCATCAGGTTATTCTGATGCTCACAAAAACTTTGGCAGAGCAGTTTAGTAAATTGCTCAGGCAGTTCTTGAGCGGCAGAGCTGGGGTGCAAACCTGAGCCTTCTAACCCTAAGTCCAGGGCTCTTTACAGCCAATTGGAGAAGCTGGAATCACCATCACTGTGTGAGCCACACAGGCGCACAATAAACCTTCACTGAGTGAATGAACGAATAAATGAATGAATGAATCATCCAGCTCCGGCTTCTTCCGGTGGGTCGGGGTCGGGGCGAGACCCTGTTTCAGAGGAGGGAGAGGCTTATGCATTTCTGACACGCGGACTTGGAGACCTTGACCTTGTCGCTTCCAGAAAAGCCACTGGCAGAAGATCCGAACCATGGTCAATCTGCCGGTCATCAGCCCTTTCAAGAAGCGCTACGCCTGGGTGCAGCTGGCAGGGCACACAGGTGAGCGTCGGGGCGCGCGCGGACTGGGTGGGGAGGTGCCGGGAAAGGAAGAGGCCGGGCAGCGCTAATTGGTGCGGGTCCGCAGGGAGTTTTAAGGCGGCGGGCACAAGCGGGCTGATCCTGAAGCGCTGCTCGGAACCGGAGCGCTACTGCCTGGCGCGGCTGATGGCGGACGCGCTGCGCGGCTGCGTGCCTACCTTCCACGGCGTGGTGGAGCGCGACGGCGAAAGCTACCTGCAGTTGCAGGACCTGCTCGACGGCTTCGACGGGCCCTGCGTGCTTGACTGCAAGATGGGCGTCAGGTACGGGTGCCCTGCCGGGCTGGGGCGGAGACCGAGTTGGGGTCCGAGACCGGAACGAGCGCTTAATGGGGTGCCCATGTGGGTCCCCTCATACCCTGGTGGGTGCCTGCACCCCCACAGGACTTACCTGGAGGAGGAGCTGACCAAGGCCCGCGAGCGGCCGAAGCTGCGGAAGGACATGTACAAGAAGATGTTGGCGGTGGACCCTACGGCGCCCACTGAGGAGGAGCACGCGCAGCGCGCGGTCACCAAGCCGCGCTACATGCAGTGGCGAGAAGGCATCAGCTCTAGCACCACGCTTGGCTTCCGCATCGAGGGAATCAAGGTGGGCCACGCCCGCTTCGCTTTGCACCGCCCTAGCCCTTCCTCCGCCCCAGCCCCACCGCGCCGTGTCCTTCCCGGTTTGTCGTCGCCCCCCGCCCTATCCCCACGACCACCACCACTACCACCACGGCGAGACGGCCGTCCGTCTCGCTGTCCCCAGCAGCCAACGCCCCGGGAGGTACCGCTGCCCTAGGCTGATCCTCTCCCCGCTAGGCGGTCCGGGCCCCCTGGCACTCCTGTCCCTCCTCTTTCAGAAAGCGGACGGCTCCTGTAGCACAGACTTCAAGACCACGCGAAGCCGGGAGCAAGTGATTCGCGTCTTCGAGGAGTTTGTACAAGGAGATGAGGAAGTGCTGGTGAGCGCGGAATCCCAGAACCCCGAGGTGCTGGGGATCCTGAAATCAAGGGCGGCCGCTGGTCGTTCCGTCTAGTGCCCTCGCCTCTGTGACCCCATTTATCTCGTTGAGTTTTCACTGCTTTATGTTCCTTTCCTTCTGGGCTGTGCGCCGTGCGGGGGGGTGTCCCCTCCTCACCACGGTATTTGCCAAGCTGAACATGCATTGTGGCTCCTAACCGTTAGCAGGGGCTCACTTAGCGTTTAATTAATTTGCCCTCCTCTTCTACTCTCTCCAGAGGAGGTATCTGAACCGCCTGCAGCAGATCCGGGACACCCTGGAGGTCTCTGAGTTCTTTAGGAGGCACGAGGTAAGAGGCCGGTAGGCTCAGGTCCCGGGCCTGTGAGGGCTAGGTGGGGATAGGGTCGGGGGCTGCTCAGGGAAGGGGCTGTGGCCTGACTGTGTGGGGCTCGGCAGGTGATTGGCAGCTCGCTCCTCTTCGTGCATGATCACTGCCATCGCGCCGGCGTGTGGCTCATCGACTTCGGCAAAACCACGCCCCTCCCTGACGGCCAGATCCTGGACCACCGGCTGCCCTGGGAGGAGGGCAACCGCGAGGATGGCTATTTGCTGGGGCTGGACAATCTCATTGGCATCCTGGCCAGCCTGACCGAGAGATGAGGCTGGACTCCTGTCCCCACGTGGGCCCGCCGGTCTGACATGTGGACCTGCGGCTGCGTCCCCACAGTGCATGCCGGCCAGAGACTGGAACCCCGTTGTGCGGGGCAGTTCACAGGGTCCTGAAGGGCCAGGTGCCAACCACTAAGGGGGCGCACTGCCAATGTCAGGGCTTGGGGCACACCTGGGCCCCAGCGTTCCCAGAGCAGAACGACACTAGTTTACGGAATGTGAGGGAACAAAAGCTTCTTCCCCTGCCCAGCTCTTCTGAGGAGGCTCTACCCTCTCCAGAGGAGCTGGATTATGAATTTTATTCAGCAGGCCTAGACCTATTGGTCTAACCTCCTACACTACAATAGATTCCCCTTCCCAATAAAACTCAAAGACCCAGCTTCCATGACTCAGGCCTCATCCCCTCCCTTCTGGTCCCCTCTTCCTCAGTCTCGGTATCCCTCACATCCACTCAGATCACTGGAAGATGTGAGAAGAGGTTTTTATTAGAAGCATCTGCGAGGTTGGGGACAGCTCAGATGAAGGATGTTCATAGAGGAAGGGCAATCCAGGACTCCTCATGACACCTGGGGTATGGGGTGGCCTCTGGTCCCAAACATCAAAAGCTAGAAGTGGCCTGGCCCTTCCCCAGGAGGCCTAGAGTTGGTTTCCAGCATGGAAAGTCCAGTGCTGCCAGGCCAGCCCTGAGACAGGCCCAGACACGCAGATGCAGGGGACAGAGGCTACTGGAATTACAAGTGACTTAGAACCCTGAGGAGTGCAGAAAGGAGCCATTGCTACCATCAGTGTCTGAGTCCTCGACCTCAGGGCCCCCTGGGGCCCAGGAGCCATAGGTGGGATTCCAAAGGTTCTGAGGTTGGAGGCCCGTGGATTTGAGGGGCTTGAGGCCAGAGGACAGCCAGGGGCCAAGAGGCCTCCCTCCCCAGCTTGTCACACCCTCTGGACTCAGTTCCTGGGGCTGTGGGGATCTTGGGCCCTCCAGAGATCTGTTCCCCAGCCCAGAAGCCCCTTCCTCCTCCAGGGTGGGCCCCAGCTCCACCAGCAGGGGTGAATTTAGCACATCAGGGTCCTGTAATAGGAGAGTTGGGGAGCAGGAGGCCATGGAGTTGTTTTATGGCTTCCTTCCTGACCCCCAAGACCAAGACGGTCAGTGTGGGTCAGGGGACACACCTGAGTGCAATACTGAAGATGCTCCAAAATGCTGGCAAAGCTGGGGCGGAGCTCAGGCTGGTGCTGCCAACACTGGGTCATGATGCGGTACCTGGGAAGAGGCTGGAGTTCGTGCCCACCCTTGGTCCTAAAGGACCTCCCTCCCTGGGCAGCACTCTAAACTCACACGGGCCCTGGACAGCCCCTAGGAGGGTCCATCCGGCCCCCTGAGATGACGAAGTCCAGCACCTCCTGGTTGGTGCGCCCCGGGTAGGGCATGTAGCCCAGTGAGAAGATCTCCCACAGCAGCACCCCAAAAGACCTGCATCACGAGTAGGGGAACCAGGTGAGGACCCTTAGCACAGCGTAGCCTCCCCTTCCCTCATACAGAGTGGCCCAGAAAAGATAGGATTAGCCTCAAGGCAGGGGAGAGGAGGATAAGGGAGGGTGTGTTATCACCAGGCGTCTGTCTTGGATGTGAAGATGCCCTCCAGGAAGGCCTCTGGGGGCATCCACTTGACTGGGAGCAAGGCCCGGTGCCCCTTGCGGTAATAACTGGCCCTACAGGAGGGAGGAGGGGAGTGATGAATTGTTTAAATACCACCAAGGTGCTGGTAAACCCCCTTGGAGCAACAGCCTAACCAACATCCCAAGCCCTCACCGGTAGATATCTCTTGCCATCCCAAAGTCCCCAATCTTGGCCACTCGGCTGGGCCCAGTGCAGCTCAGCAGGCAGTTCCGGGCGGCAATGTCCCTGCAGAGTTTAGCAAAAATATCACTCCCAGAATGCAGAAGTTCTGGCCCTTCCTGATCTGTTTCCTTAAAAGTTACACAGAAGGTCTGTTCTTTCAGGAGAGAGTTGGGCTGGGGGTCCCCCAAGCCAGGATTGCTCCCAACCTGTGGATAAAGTGATTTTCCTCCAGGTAATGGCAGCCCTGGGCTATGTCCTGGGCCAGCTGCAGCAGGTCCCGCATGACCAGAGGTGATGGCTGGCCCTGGGTCAGGCAGAGGGTATGTCAGTCCATGCAGGTCTCAGGACTCATGACAGGGTCTTTGGAGGGGCCTGGGGGGCTGAGAGAAGGGTCTCACCAGGTGTGGCCGGCTATGCCTCAGGAAACTCTTCATGTCCCCTCCAGACATCAGCTCCAGCAGAATGAGGCGAGGGGCAGCCTGGAGGCTGAGCCCCACACACTGCACAATGTTCCGATGGCTAAACTTGCTGGGTGGGTGGTGCACATACCCCATCACCAGCAGGGAGATATAAACCATGTTCTAGGCTCCACAAAACTGGAGAGGACTTCTGTGTCCCCAGGCTTGTCACCTCTCAGCCCCAGGGTGAAGAGAGGCTGTTCCTGCAGGCAGTTCTGGCTTCTCCCTCTCACCCTCCGCCCCTGCCCCGCCCCAGGCGCACCTGATGATGAGCGCCTCCATGAGGAAATCTAGCTCGTCCTGACGAGAGCAGAGTTCTGGCAAGGTCTGGGGTGGGCGGAGGAAGAGCACAGTTTCTGAGCTGCCCTGGACACTTCAGGAGAGGGGGTTAACCGTAGCTCTAACTGCTCTCCCCTCCCTGGCGCCCTGCTCTTCTACCCCAGCCAGAAGTCCCACTCCCTCTCACCTTGATAGCCACCTGTAGCGGGCCAGAGTCCCCAGGAAGGCCAATTACCAGTCCTTCGTACACCTCCCCAAAGGCGCCGTGGCCCAGGGCTCTGCAGGAAGACAGGTTGAGGGAGTGGCTGGCCTGGAGAAGGGTCTTAGAGAGTCTGGTACCCCCTGTTTGCCCTGCTCCTCCACATCCCCCACATGCCCAGCTGACCCTATGTGAGCCCTCTCGGCATCACAGCACGCGGTAGAAGCCCTGCAAGGTGACACGGACTTGCGCAGAGCCAGGGCAAAAGAGAGGGCAGGCGTGGGGTCAGAGTCAGGGTGGAAGTCTGTGATGAGGCCTTCCCTTAGGTCCTTGCGGACACTCTAGGAGGGAGGCAACTCCTGGGCTCCAAAAGAGTCATATTCTAAGGCCCCTCCCATCCCAGAATTGGGGCTGAGAGCTGACCTTGAGAAAATTACTTCCCCTTTTGGAGCTTCTTGGGGCCTCCATCTCCCCTATACAAGGAGTTTGGGCCAGTTCTCTGGGATCCGTAATCCACCATAGCTGGGAGCAGGATCAGAGACGTGTATTCAGAGTGCACAGGTTCTCAGATGGAAGCAGAGGACTCACCTGAGCAGAGTGACATTGTCTGGGGAAACCTCAGTGAGCCCTGCGGGCAGAGGCCAGGACTGAGCTGGGCCAAGCCCCGCATGGCAGTAATAGGGATTGGTGGCTGTCCTGATGGCAGAGGTTCGCAGCTTGCTCAGCTCAAGCTCAGGGCCTGGCAGCCTCATCCCCCACAGGCCCTGCCACTTCTTCTGGCTCACTGGGGGTGGGAAGAACAAAGGCATACACTCTGCCTTCCCATCAGGCCCACGCTGCCTCCCCTGCCCAGGACACCTCTACAGATGCCCCTAAGGTAAATGTTTTCCCCAGGCCTCCCCAGCTGCTTCCTGTCTTAGGACCCCAAAGGAGTCTACCACTGCTCTGCTGGGAGTAGAGGTCTGGAAGCCAGCCCCATGTGCCCCTGGGACCCCACAGAAAACCACCACAGCTCAGTGGAGAGGGGGCAGCCTTGAATATGCTGTGCCTGCTAGATGCTCCGTACCCAGAATCAGGACCCCACACACCATAAGGAGGCTCAGTGTCGAGGTCATCACCACAGCCACCATCAGAACCAGAGGGCCTGGTGGGGTGGGCAGGTCTAGGGAGAAAGAGAGACACCTCCAGTGGGAAGGTGCTCTCTGTCCCTTTACCCCAAGTTTCACCCGAGCTTCAAGCATCAGCTCAAGTGTTAATCTTTCCATCACACCTTCCCCAGTTATCCTAGGGAGAACCAACCTCTCCCTTTTGAGAACCTCTAAAACACTTCATACCCCCCATGGCAATTGTCACTCCAGACACACATCTATATAGCCATATCTAAATATCCATCTCACCTCCCACACTGGACTACATGTCCCTGGAAGGCAAAGTGTGCACTGATGGGTCTCTAATCCCCTGCCCAGCACCCAACACAGTGCCTGGCACACAGTAGGTCTCTATACCATCTTTCCAAGTGCCTTACTGCCCCTCCCAGCCTGATCCCAGGAGTCCAGACCTTGGGCAAAGGTAGGACATACCCATGCAGGTGATGTTATCCACAGCTAGCACCATGCCCTCTGGGCACAGGCATTCAGCCAACTGGAGCTCTGCCTGCCACTGGCAATCTCTCAAAGGGCAATGACTGCAGTTAAGATACCTTCGGATCTCCACCTCTCCGTGGCTCTCTGTGACTGACAGTAAAAAACCAATATGGTGGGGTGTGGTGTGGGGGATGTGGGTGGTGTGGGGGCTGTGGGGGGTGGAGTGGGGATGTCAGGAGGGGGGGTCAGGGGGGAATAGAGCGAGGGTGGGATATACATGCCTTTTCCAGCCACATGGTTAGTTCTAGCCCAGGACTTTAGAGCAAAGAGCAGTGCCAAGCACACAAGGGTGGTGGGAGAGCCTGGGCCTTCTGGCAAGCCTGCACACTCTTCTGGGAACCTTGAGCTTCCGGGTATTTGAATAGAACTTACAGCAGGGCGACACTTGACAAGCACTCCAGAATGCCCCATAATGGCATCACAAGTGACAGCCCACTTCTCAAATGATCCTGTGCTATGCAAAAACTAGGTAGTTTCCAGTGTAGAGTTGGTGGCTCTTATAGGAGTGGGTTCAGGGATTGAGGAAAAAGGCTAGGCCAGGCTGAGAGGTGGGGGTTGGGGCCAATACCTGCCAGAGGCTGCAGGTAAAGCTCGCTGCTGGGGTGTATGAAGGATACCCCATCTTCCCCATTAGCCCAGAGGTTGTCAGTCTCTGAGGTATTGCCCCCTGGAAATTGAGAGTGATGGATGGTTTGGCTACAAAAGTGGGTGAGGGGAGGGGAGGAAGGACTATGGGGATGGGAGAGGAGTAAGGGCCACACAGCTGCCTCAAGCTGGGAAGCTGGCTTATGAACAGTGGGGAAGCCAGCATCTCCCAGTGGAAATCCCAGTGTGGGTGTGGCCTCCTCTACACAAGCATTCTGATGCAAGCGCTTCTGTTCACAAATAGGTGCTCAGGGGCGAGAGAGGCCGGGAGGGATTAATCAGCTAGAACCTGAAGGCCTGGCTCAGGCTGGCTGGGACACCTCCTGTCTGTCCGAGCCCCTCCTATCCCATATTCTCAGCTGTAAAATGGGAGAGGCACAACCCACACATTCCATTTCTGTGAGAATGTAGATTGTGTGTGTAAAGTATTTATAAACAGTGTAGCCCAGACACAAAGGTTGTTTCTTAACACCAGTGGTTTCCAAACTGAAGTGCATTAGAATCATCACCTAGAGGACTGATTAAAACAGCACTGGGACTCTCCCCTAGAGTTTCTGATTCAGCAGGTTAGAGAAGGGCTGAGAATTTGCATTTCTTTTTAATTAAAAAAAAATTATATATATTTATTGTGTACAACATGATGTTTTGAAATACGCATACATTGTGCAATGGCTAATTCAAGCCAATCATCATATGCACTACCTTCCATATGTATCATTTTTTTGTGATGAGAACACCTAAAATCTATTCTCTTAACAATTATCAAGAATACATTTTTTTATTTTTAAAAGAGAGGAGGTTCGGCTCTGTTGCCCAGGCTGGAGTGCGGGGGGGCACAATCAAACTCACTGCAGCCTCCTGGGCTCAAACCATCCCCCTGCCTCAGCCTCACCAGTGGCTGGGACTAGAGGCCACCATGCCTGGCTAAGAACACATTGTATTAACTATAGCCACCATGTTGTACAATACGTCTCTGGAACTTATTTTTCCTATCTAACTGAAATTTTGTATCCTTTGGCCAACATCTCCCCAATATGCTCTCCCACCCAAGAGAAGCTGCATTTCTAACAACTTAGGTGGTGCTGAGGTTCTACAGGTTCCAGAACCACACTTTGAGAACTACTGACTTAAACTAATCCTGCCTTTCTGCTTCCCTGCTCAGCGTGCTAAGTTCCTCGGACTGCACAACAGGGAGGGCACCTGTTGTGATGGAAAATATCCTGGATTTAAATGAAAATCTAGGGCTGTCTGCATGTGTGTGATTTGCGATTTATTTGACCTCCTTTTCTAAGAGCTCTGCTCTGGTCTGGAGCAGCTGGCTCGGGCCTCTTCTAAGGCTCTAACCTGACTTCACCCTCAGGGCTGCCCGGCTGCCCTCCCCAGGGGTGCACCTACCCCGGTAGCCGCCGCCGCCTCCGCCCGCAGTGCAGGCCCCGCCGCCGCCCCCGAAGCCGCCAGCCGCGGCCCATCCGAGAGTAGCCCAGGCCTCCGCGCAGCCATGGCCGCCCTCCGCCCCCTCCTGCAGGGAGCGTCCGGCCTGCGGGGAGAGGGCCCGCGACGTCCAGCCGCCCCCTCCACCTGCGAAGCGACAGTGCGATGGCTGGCAGGCGGACGGGGAGCGCGCCCGCCTCTCCCCGCGGCCGGGCGCCCTCACCTGCCGCCCCGCCTCTCCCGCTGCTCCCGGGCGCAGCCGAGCGGTTCTCCAGTTTCTCGGGGGAGGCCTGAGCCCAGCCTCGGTCCTGCTGCCTCAGGTAGGCCCGACCGCCGCCTCCGGCCGCCACCAGCAGTGGCTCCAGCTCGCCGGCGCGCAGCTGTAGGGCCAGCGGGGCGTTGAGGGGCGCGCCCTCCAGCCGTCGAGGGAGGACACCGGCACTGCGCGATGCCTCCGTCCGGGGCCCAAAAAGGGCAGGGGCTCCCAGCCCAGCACAGGGATAGAGGGACCCCAAGTGACGTACGTAGAGCGCGTGCGCGCGCGCCTCTGCGAACAGGACTAGGACCCCAACGCCGAGCGCTGGGGCCGAGGGCGGCCAGCGCCAGGGGAGCACGTACCCGGAAGACGTAGGTGGCGCCCCCGCCACCCCCGCCACCTCCGGCCCAGCGCCGCGACCCCGGGGCCCTTTCGGTCCCGTCGGTCGCCGCGTGCTCTTCAGCGGCCGGAGACTCTCCGAGGCAGACGAGCTGGCTCTCCGGGCTACCCTGCGAGTACCAGGGGCAAGAATCGGCGGGGCCCGGGACCCTCGCTGTGCCAGTGTCGGAACACCAAAGAGGCATCGCCCTAACCCTTCCCACTGGTCCGCTTACTCCAGGACAGGCGTCCTCTCCCTGCTGCCCCACGAGGATGTAAAGCGGCTCCCCGCGACTAAGGGAAAAGATCGCTGAGACGAAGACGCCATGCGCCCGCGACAGGTGGTTCCTGGCGCCTTTGCCGCCCGCGGCTCCGTAGGCTGAGATCCTGCGGGAGGCCGGCGTTGAGTCCCCGGCCCTCGCCCTCCGGCCAGCCGCTCCAGGCAGAGGTTGGCGACAGAGGCGGCTCCAGAATTTTAACTGAGGGACTTAGAGGCTTTGAAGGGATGGGAAGACGAGATCTGCACACCACGAAATTAAATTTTACACTTATTTCAGGAGTGTTAATGGAGATGGGGGAGCCTCAAGCCACCCCTTGGCGCCCCCGCTGGTTAGGGGCCCTCTGCTGGGCGGGAACGGGCTCCTGGGTACCGGCTAACTCGGCGGCTACTACCGCCACACTTCCCGGGGCCGCTGGAAGGAGGGGCACTCGAGGTCGCCCTGGTTGGACATTGCTCCGGAAACCCTAAGACGCAAGGTGGTGCGTACGTGGCCTCGGTGCCCCGGACGGTGGAACGGCAGAATCGCGGGTCATCGCCCACCCCCAGCCCGGCCCGCACTTACAGGTACTGGCCGGGGCCCGGCGCCCGCCACAGCTGCACGCCTCTCAGCGGCCCGGCAGCCCCCACAGTCACCACCGCGCCGCTGCCCGCGTACGTCCCATCACATTGTGCTTGTGTGGGCCCGCGCCGGCCGCTGGCCCCGCAGGTGGAAAACTGCCAAGACCCCTTGGTGCCTGGGAGCAAGGAGAGAGAAAAGGCTCGTCGAGCCCCTGGGCGGCCGAGGGGTCTGGGTATGGTAGGCGGAACAGAAGGGAGGAGCCGGGAACTCACCTGAGGGATTTAGGCGGAGGGTTGGCTCCAAGCCGCTAGGCGGGGCGGTGACTTTCGCATCCCGGGAGCTGGGAGTTGGCAGGGGCGAGGATAACAGAAAAGGCACCTGGGACCCTGAGCTGGAGCAGAGAATGGTGCCTGAAAGGTGACAGTGAGCCAGCAGTGTAGGGAGCGGGCGCAGAAGGTTAACCGGGAGGGAGGGATAGGAGATAAAAGAGGGAAAGAGATTCGGAGATAACCCCACAACAGCAGCCCTTGCTGCCCGCGGCCACACCCCTAACCCCGCCGCTCACCACGGCCCACTCGCACCCCGATGCTCGCCACAACCCAACTTCGGTGGCAGAAGCCCAGCGAGTGCCTGCTGATGCCTCTACCAGTTTCTCCCCTCGAGAGCACTTTTCAGCGAATGACTGGGCGCACTGAGCTCGGTTCTGCAGCCCTCCACTCCAATCCTTTGCAGCACTTAGACTGGTGGCCCTACCCCCAGGCAGTGCTGAGATCCCAGGGGTTGTGCCTCCTTCCCAAGCTGCGTGATCCGGGTCCTCGGATTCGCGTTTTCCCCCCACACTCCAGGAGCACGGACCGGAAAAATTTGGCCACGAGGGTTCGAGGCCTCTGGAGGAGGAACTGGGACATGGCCTGTTGCCATCCCCGAGCTTAGGAAGGTGCCTCTGGCTGGGCCGTTTCCTGACCGCCAGACCGCACTTACCCGCGGCTGCGAGCCACAGCAGCAGCTGGCCCACGCTGCCCATAGCCCGTTCGGTCCACCGCACCTAAAGTTGACAGCTCAGACCCAACCACTGCGGCCCAGGCTTATAGGAGTGTCCAGCCGCCAGCGAGACACCCCTGGGAACTAAAGCCGGTCTGGCCACGCCCACCTCAGACCCCGGGATGCTGGAGGAGGAAAGGGCGGGGCGTGAGGGCAGCGAGGTCCCCGGGCTTCCGGGAGGAGCCTTGCGGAGCCCACACGCAGGTGCTGTCGTCTCCAGCCATCGGGTGTGCCTCAGGCTGCCCCGGGGAGCGGGGTGGGCTCGAAGTAGGGGAGGAGGTGCCCCACCCCAAATATCAGGCACGGACTTCTACAGTCCTCAGGACAGGAGCAGTAGTGTGTGCGCTTCATTGGTAGTGGTGACGGTGGTGGTGGGTGTGCTCGTGTGATCATACATGGGGAGTACTCTTTAAACTGCTTCAAGGAAGGACTCATTACTTGCCATTACTTGTGCCTTTCAGTGCCTTTGTGAGTGCAAGGCTGAACCTCCCTTGTTGGCCTCATACAATCCCACCATGTTACACCTCTGCACAACTTCTGTGATGGGGTAAAGGACTGGACCAGATGGCAGAAGATCTGAGTGCTAGCACTCGTGTCTCTAGTCAATGGGTGTTGTAGCGCAGGCCACACAACTGATCTGAGACAGTTTCCCCACCACCTGTAAAATCATACAAAGGGAGGTGGCTCTGTAAACTACAAGGCACCCTGCAACTGTGAGGGCCACTTGGCCTTCAGGTGGTTCCGTGTCTTGGGTCCTAAATCTTTTGCTCAACATGACTAATTTGAAAGGCTGAGACCTATGTTCAATATAAAACACTTGAAAAAAGAAGTTATAATAGCTACTTGGTAAAGTCTGTGTATAATGCAAGGTGTAGACACAACAGTGATTTTGTAAAAATTCTGGTATCCATGCCACAGTTAACTGTGTAGATACTGCACTATGAGATCACAGAGTTTACTTTTCAAGGTCCCTGTAAGCCAAGCCACTACTTCTCAAACTGTGGTTGGTTCTTCTTCTTTTTTTTTTTTGCTCCCCCCCCCAACCCCCTTGTGGTTGGTTCTGGACAACAGCATCACTATCACCTGAAAACTTGTTAGAAATGCAGATTCTTGGGTTTCACCCCCAGATGTACTGAATCAAAAACTCTGGTAGTAGGGCCCAGCAATTTGTCTTAACATTCTCTAGGTGATTTTTGTCACGTAAGTTTGAGAACCATTGGTATTTGCAGATACAGTAGTTGCTTAATAAAACCTATTAGACAATTCCATGTTTCAGCAGCTCCACTTACAGGGAGTGGGTTCTCTCTACCTACTGACAGGGCCAGGCCTGGCACACTGAACTCATCCTGATGACCCGCAAACACAGTAAGTAATTCCATACAGCGAGTGACAGTGTAATAAAGTCTGTTAGAATTTAGACAAAAGAACAACCTAGAAACTTTATCAAAATAGAGATGAACCAGAAGTTATGCCCCCCTCCTTTTTTTGTGTTTTATTTTTTTTTGTTTTTTGAGACAGAGTCTCACTCTGCTGCCTGGGCTAGAGTGCTGTGGCATCATCCTAGCTCACAGCAACCTCAAACTCCTGGGCTCAAGTGATCCTCCTGCCTCAGCCTCCCGGGTAGCTGGGACCACAGGCATGTGCTGCCACACCCAGCTAATTTTTCTATTTTTAGTAGAGACAGGGTCTTGCTCTTGCTCAGGCTAGTCTCAAACTCCTGACCTCAAGTGATCCTCCTGCCTTGGCCTCCCAGAGTGCTAGGATTACAGGTGTGAGCCACACCTGGCCTCCTTTTTTTTTTTTAATAGATAGGGTCTCTGTCATCTAGGCTAGAGTGCAGTGGTGTGATCATAGCTCACTATAACCTCAAATTCCTGGGCTCAAGTAATCCTCCTCAGTCTCCAAATAGCTGGAACTACAGGTGTGTGCCACCACACCCAGCTAATAATTTAAAAATTTTTTTGTAGAGACGGGATCTTACAATGTTGCCCAGGCTGAACTTTAACTCCTGGGCTCAAGTGATCCTCCCTCCTCAGCCTGCCGACTAGCTGGGACTAAGGTATGCACCACCATGCCCAGAAGGACCCACCTTCTTGTTGTCCCCAGATGTGGACTCAGTTTTTACTTCCCACTCATGATTCCTCCATCTCTCTCCCCCCTTGCCCGTCCCCTGGGATAACCCACCCCTTGACACCAACCCTGAAGTGACATGAGTGAAATTGGTCCAAATCAGATACCCAGTAGAGGCTGGGCACAATAGCTCACGCCTGTGATCCCAGTACTCTGAGGCCGAGGTGGGAGGATTGCTTGAGCTCAGGAGTTCGAGACCAGCCTGAGCAAGAGTGAGACCACGTCTCTAATTTTTTAAAAAAATAAAATTAAAAAAAAAAACAAAAACCAGATACCCAGTAGATTTAAAACCATTTTTATTTCAATGCACAGCTATGGCATTCAGATACTTCAGCCTAGGGCAGGGGCTGGGAGTAGGTAAGGAGAGGTGTCCTTAGACTGTCCTGTTCCTGAAGAGAGGGTAAATATGTAAGTCACCTGTCAGTCCCAGCTCAGGCCCTCAAAAGCCCCAGATCCTGAGCTCCAGATATCAGGACATAATGGTAGGGTTCGTTTTGCTCCAAAAAAGCTCAAACTATCTGCTCCCAGGAGGGCAAGCATTCTGCTCCTTAGTCTCCTGCCTACCCTTAGGTCATAATACCCTTCTGCCTGGCCACGGGAAAACGTAGCAACCATACTAGACCTCTAACACCCCATTTTGGAGCACCGTTAAGGTCAGTCTCTGGAGGTACTGCTGACGCAGAGGCGGCAACTGAGAGTACAGCTCAAAGCCCTCTGGGAGGGTAGAATTGGGAAGCTTATAGTGGAGGAGATGCTGCCGGAGACCCTGCAGAGAGGGAAGAAACTTTATGAAGTGAGTAGTGAGATGCTGCTGAGGTCTCTGTCCCCCAAGACCCTCTAATCTCCCACCCTCCTAATGGCCCTGACCCTACCTCATCTGCCAGCAGCCAAGTTTTCTGCAGCATACTCCTGTGGGCCACCTTTACCTCATCCTAGATGCAAAACGGGTAGAGGTGGCACTGAGCCAAGGGCTGGGACCCACCACCTTGCCCCAGGGCCTCACCTGACCCGCACCTCTTCCCCAGCTGGCCCAGGGCGGCTCAATTACTAGTTCCCTTCCTCCCTCCAAAGATGGGGATGTAACTTACTGAGCTCTTTGGGTCCTGGGAGAAGATGAAGCTATTGACATGAGCCACAGCCACAGCATAGAGCACAGGGCACCACTGCGGACGGAGTGCACCAGTAACCAGGGCCCGGAAGTAGAGCTGAAGGAGGTCCAGGTTGTCTTCCGGAGGCCCCGTGTAGCACTCCAGGGACACAGGCAACTGTGACGGGGAAATGAGACGTGCTGAGGGGGACGGTGGGAACGTGTATCACTGGACTACAAGGTGGATGGTTGATAGTCACATGAAATCAAATCATAAGGACAGAGATCAGGTCTCAGACAGACATCAATCCTTCTCTAGCACAAGGATCAAGGCTAAAGACTAAAGAGCAGAGCAAAGGAAACTGGGAACTGAGAAACAACTGTGAATGTCTACTGCCTACCACTACTTCTTTAAAACCAAAACTTTCAAAATGTCATATTCAACTGCTCCATTATTAACAAACTTCTCAAAAGTTCATGTTCTTTAGGCAAGTTAATTCTCTTTTTAAAAAGTCATTCTTACAGCACTTGTGTTTGTTTTTGTCTAAATTGTGGACAAGGAGTTACAGACAGGTGCAAAAAATAAATCCTCTTTTGCAGCCCAGAACTCATTATTCAGTATGAGTTTTGATACATATAAGAAGGATTATTATGAGACAAAAATAAACAAACATATAAAAATAAAAAAGTCTTTTTTTTTTTTTTTTTTTTTTGAGACAGAGTCTCACTGTGTTGCCTGGGCTAGAGTGCTGTGGCATCATCCTAGCTCACAGCAACCTCAAACTCCTGGGCTCAAGCGATCCTCCTGCCTCAGCCTCCCGAGTAGCTGGGACTACAGGCATGCGCCACCATGCCCGGCTAGTTTTTTCTATATATTTTTAGTTGTCCAATTAATTTCTTTCTATTTTTAGTAGAGACGGAGTCTCGCTCTTGCTCAGGCTGGTTTCGAACTCCTGAGCTCAAACAATCCGCCTGCCTTGGCCTCCCAGAGAGCTAGGATTACAGGCGTGAGTCATAGCGCCCGGCCAAAAAAGTCATTCTTAACTTCACAGAGAATTGATTATAAGAGAAACAGACAAAGTTTATGTCTAATGCTGCTTATCACAATGTTACTTAAAATAGCAAAAAATCTGCAACAATCTACACGGCCAGCAACAGGTTCTGAGAAAATTGGGGTGCATCTACACGATGGGCTATATTATATAATAACTCTTTTTTTTTGAGAGTCTTGCTCTGTTGCCCCAGCTAGAGTGCAGTGGCATCATCATAGCTCACCACAACCTCAAACTCCTGTGCTCCAGCCCTCTAAGACTTTGCTTCTCATTTTTAGCCCTGTTTCCAGCAAGCTCCCTACAGAACTCTCTCCTCCCTCCTATTTTTTGTCATGTTCCTTTCTGCCACTGAGCTTTTGCTTATGTTGTTCTACCCAACCTTCAGTGCCCAGGTTAATCCCTACTTCTTCCACAAAGCATTCTCCTTATGGGAAGCCTACTTTGATCTTTCCCTTTTATGAATCCTGACTTAACACCTAGAATCTGAACAATTCAGAGCTATTTTTGTTTTTAGTAAATCTCTTCTTTCTTAGATTATAGCACTTATGAGAAAGCCATACCTTGTTAATAATAACGAACACCTACTGTATGTCAGATACCATGTTAAACCCTTTTCATGGATTCTCTCATTCCCCTCAAAGCTCAGAAGAGGTAAGGTGAGGAACTGGAGGCCCGCTAAAGCCTCCCTGCTCAGGACTGCCCCTAGGGCCAATACAGGACACCCTTGGCGGGCC